ATTAAATCCTGGGCAATTTAATTAACTTTCTCAGGTTATTATTTAATCTGATAAAAACTGTCTAGCTTCTAGGAATATTATAAGGATTAAGTCATAAAACTTATGAAAAACATTTAGCCTGAATATTTGAAGCACTAAATACATTGTAATGAACAAAGTACATAAAACTAATAACAAAAGGGACAACAATACCTTATAATATTTAACAATTATCCAAGATACCTGTTTACATGTGGTTTTGAATGAAGAGTGGAATCTAGCTGGCCAAAATTCTCCAATCTTCCTATCAATATTTGTTAGTCTTTCTCTAAAGTATTTATTACTTCAGGAAAAACACACTGAATTTAAAAATCAACAATTCATTTGTATTAGTAATTTACACTAATTTATTCCATGATGTCTCAGAGGGCAAAATTATACATAAAACATGGATGAAAGTTACGAGAAAGCTAAGCTGGGGTTCATAAAACAGATAAATCTTTAAAATAGATCTTTCCATAGATATACCAGCCTGAATGGCTTTAAAGATCTAGTACATCCCTCACATTCATGAATAGGTTAATTTTTTTCCATCAGGACTATTTGTGGTTGAGCTTATATAGCTTGGACCAGATGATTTTTAGTCCTTTCTTGACATTTCTGATTCTTACTATTTTCTAAATCACATTTGAATTCAATTTTAAATAGTTATTCAATACCTCAATTCTTAAGATACAATGTAAGCATGTAGAAATTCCACTGACATTTTCATTTTTAGACAGACATAGATGCAATATACAAAGCAACACAGGATACGAAAAATTTTAACTTGGCCAATATATTCTCCTTTGATTGAGATCAATACTCAGAATAGTCAATTGTTTTATGTGTTAACTACCTGTTCATATGACTGGAAAAATAACTCAATATGCTGGTGCCAAATCTATTTATTCATTTATTAATTCATTTAACCAAGAATATTTATAAAACATTTATCAAATCCTTTTTATAAACTAAGCATTGTGCTATGTGGTATGAGGCTATATTTTACAGAAAGAACTATAATCAATACTTTGACTTTAAAGAAATAATGAAGAACTTTAAACATATGTTGGTTTCTGGTTTTCAGTATTCAAAGAAACTCACTGTACACTTACCTAATCACCAGATTTATTATGACAAAATATAATCATTCAAGGTAATTTCTTATTAATAGTCACACATTATATACACACACATTATGTAGTTCTCTCTGACAGTACAAAATTTATGGAAATGATTAATAAAAGAAAATTTTTTTTATCTGTCCTATCAATATAATGTGAACACAGGTCAAGGATTTATTTTATGTGATGTCAAAACCCTTTCTAATATTACCAGTTAAACAGAGCACTTCTCTGTTTTGTCATGATAATTTAGCTTTAATCAAGCCTGACAGGTTGATTTCTCTGCAACCTTTTATATTTAAACTTGAACCCAATATATATTTATAAAGAAAAATCATTTTTTATTTCTGTTTTAAGTATCATTTTATTATTCTTATAAAATATAAATAGAATCTCAAAAAAACACAGACTGGTGATTTTAGGACATTCTTAGACTGATTTGTAAAAGACGAATATAGTTAATAAAAACCTTTGATGTTATTTAACACAAAAGCAAACATAGATCTTTTTATATTTGACATTAAAAATCTGATTATTTGCCTCCCTAAAGAAAGCACATACAGCTTTTATACAGACTACACTGCAAAGAATAATAATATTTCTGTTTACTGAGATATCAACTGGCATTTCACTGTAAGTCAATGGTCTATCGTTGCTACAGCGTATTAGACCTCAATCTGGCACCTACAAATGTCAAGAGTATAAAAAATATACGATGAAAATCAAAAGTATGTTTTGAACTCTTCCAAAAAAATAAAAAAAGGGAAACAAAGTTCACCTAAACGAATTTGCTGCAGAAATCAGTGCAATATTCAGCTGTCAATCTAGAAAAACAAGGGAGCCACACTGTCAGTAGGACAGGATAATAAAATTTCCAGCAGATGTTCAGGCAGGGCTCTAATTTTTACTGAACTCCCTTGATAAGCATTTAATTTCTTTATCATATGCAGGCTCGGCAAATTGTACTTCATCACAACTGTATTATGAAATATTAATATTTCATATGATAACAAAACTCCATAGACTAACCTTTGACATATTAAAATCATCCACATTTCAAATGTCAAGATTCGAAATTTTAATACATTTAAAATAGATTCTTGAATTTGCATAATAAATTATAACAGATAATCTCAGTTGGTATGTTATAATGTCACACAAATATATAGTACATATAATATTTTAATAGATGCTTTTGGTGAAAGATTGTGGGAAAAATGCATCAAATGTTTTATATTACATTACATCAATGAGAAAGCACAGAAGTTCTTAATGTGCAATTTTATATTCAAAGCAGGTTTAATTGCTAGTTAGGGACAATATAAGAAAACCAAACAGAGTTCTGTGTAAGGCAAATGGACTATTCTATATACTCATATTCAGGAAGTAATCATTTTTGTAGATGGCTTTATATAAATATAAGGTGGCATCATTATTTGTTATTATAATCTGCACAAATATGTTTCTTAAAATAGTTTTTGTACACTGTTTTTGCAACTAATACCAAAGTAAGAAATACAGGAGTTCTGAAAAGGTCCCTTATTTATCACAGACTTTTGAATTGATAGCTCTAATTCAGACTTGATGTTTAGAAAGAAGTTAGCAAAAAAGGAGAAAAAAAAAGAAATTAGCCTCCACATTTGTTTCTGCTGGTGATCCTATTAAGGAAGCTGCTCCGAGGCTACTGAAAGACACAGGATCACAAATCAATGCCTGTCACCGACAGAGAGAAGACATGTTTCTGATTAATCAGAATTCAATTTTTTTATAAGCAAAGAAAACAGAAAATTTTAAAGCAAGTATCTTTTTATTGCCTGAGTTCTTCATTTATTCCTGATTAACCAACTATTTCTGTTTACCTATATGCATTTAAAATAGCATGACTAATATAATCATTAAATGCTATTTGAGACTGTTTTCCACAACAGATTAAACACTTGATTACAGCTTACCACTAATCCTTAAAGGATGAATTGAAACAAAGACAAATACACTATTAATATTCTACAAGACTGTAAACAACTGACTCATGAGATTCTAATCTGAATCAAGTCTACTCTGGTGTTTTTTACACTTTGTTTAATGAAAATATTTCTAAATATTCAATTTATTTGGATAAGGAACCCCTCTTCTGATATTTAAATGTAGAAATCTTTATATTTTTCCTGTATTAACTTGACTTTTGTAACTTTTAAGGAATCTCTAAATTTTCTTGATCACACTTATGTATAGCATCTTGTAAAGCTATCAGAATAAGACAGCTGTAATGTTTTAGCTATAATAATGCCAGCTATTGATCCCGTAAGAGAAAAAAGAGGGAGAGAATGTGCTTAATGGGGCATGTTTGTTCTCTATTATTTTCTTTGCCTAAGGATAAGGCTGATTTAAATAATGATACTCTTTTCTTAGTTGCTAGATTCATAAATTCATATACATTAATTATTACTAACTACCAGCTAATGCTAAATACATTGAAAGGTTAAACAACTACAATTTTATCAATAAATGGTCAAAAGATGCCAGAGTCATCTGCTATTTTCTAATTTAAGAAGTATAAGGATGAATCACTACTTTGAAAACATGCATTTATATGATTTGTGTACTTTAAAGAATCAATTTCAACTTTAATATGCAGTTCATTTTCTGATAAGTATATTCACTTCTTGTATGAGTACAAAGTCAACATGACACATGAAACTCAGGATATATGTTTTGGGGGAAATGCTTTTGTGGAAGATTTTCAAAAATTCATCAAGAAACTTATTTCCAACATCAGTAGACCATAATGAGAGATCTATCTTTACATGAATTAAATCTCAGGAAATTTGCAAATCAAATCAACTGTCACCATAACTTTGATTTGAGTCATATACATGTCTTCATTTAAACACTTCTAAAATCACCAATTAATAGTATGAAAATAAAGAAATAAAAGTAGATCAATCAAAATCTAGGAATCCCAGTACTAGACACATCCAAAAGAAACCAAATCAATATGTCAAAAAGACATCTACACTCCTATGCTCCCTTCATCAATGATGACAGTAGCGAAGACACAGAAACTAAGCGTTTGTGTCTCTCTCCTTCTCATATATACATATGTAACTGAAAAATATTGAGCCATAAAAAGTTGAAAACGTATCATTTGAGACAACATGCTTGGAAGTAGACATCATTAATATTAGGGGAAATAAACCAGGCACAGAAAGATGAATACCCACATGATTTCACTCATATGTGAAAGTTAAATACATTTGATCTCAGAGATCTACAGTTCGATGGTAATTACCAGAGGCAGAAAAGAGTAAGTGGAGCAAGGCAAAGAAAAGTTGACCAATGTTTACTGAGATGTAACTGAACAGAGGTATTTTTGGTATGCTATTGCAGAATAGGGTGACTTTAAAAATCTGACGAATTTGCAAAAGTGAAAAGAAAGAATTTTGAAAGTTTTATCATAAAGAAATGATAAATATGAGAAGATAAATATATTTAAATTGATTTAAGTATTACATTGTGTACACATGTATCAAAATATCATATGGTATCCTATTAATGTGTATAAATTTTTGTATCAACTAAAACAAATTCAATAAAAAGCCAAAAATTTGTGATAATTAAATGAAGTATCATTTTTACATTATGATACTTCATATACAATACAAAATGGAAAACATATATGATACACACTGTTGTATGAGACAGATGACATAAAAAATTAAGGCCTAATGTGTAATGATAGGCTGTCAAATAATTTAAAAGTCATTACATCTTTGTCAAAAATTGTAATATACTATTCATACCTTAATTAAAATATACACCAGGCATTTAAACATGACTTCAGAAATAATTTCTTACCTTATCAAGAGAGAAAGTTTTGGTCAGGGCAAAGGCCCATCCAGCTTCAAAAGCTCTTCGAATCATTGATGTGCTGGTAGCTGGAGTAGCACTAGCAAGACCAAAAGGATTTATAAACTTCAGTCCAGCCATTTCCACGCTAAGGTCCACCAGATCAATAGGAGTATAGAAGAGGGGTAGTTCAGGCTTGGCAGAAATTGATGCTCCATATTGTGACTGCAAAGGACAAACAGCCAATAATTGCACTTACATCATATATAAATTATCCATGTAATCTTTTACCAAAATGAACATAACATTTGAATGAATATAGATTACATCTGTCTGTTTACAATGATGAAAAGTGACCAAACGCCAGTTAGCAGTGAACCAAATTCATATATAATTACCATCCTTTTTCAATTTAAAAAAAAGTATAGACTATTAACAGAAATAAAATCAACTAAACAAAAAACATATAAAAATATGGCGATTCAAACACAAAAGGGAATAATTTTAGAATTTATCTCCCTGTTTCCATTAACCCAGCCTCTTTTTACTTAATTTATGAGAGTGTCTTACCACTCAGAGATACAGGCAACAGCAAGTCAGGAGTCATTCAATTTCCAGTAATCTCACCACTGTTTATGCAATTTTAGGAAGGCCACCTAACATGCCCCTCTCTTTTCTACTTTATAGTTTTCAGTATAGTAGTAGGAATCCTGGTTGCCTAATTTCCTATCTCATAGGGATACTGGAAAATTCAGGAAATCATAAGCCACTGGAAGACATCTAATTTGGAAAGTGGGCAATGCACTAATGAGCATTAGTGGAGTTAGCATGTTTTTTTGTTTTCAGTAACCAAACAGGTACTAAAGAGGTATTCTGAAATCTTCAACTGTCACTCAAAACTGTACATTTACCTTTTTAAATGAGCACTGTAATAATGCTTTCTTGAAGGATTATTGAGATGATTTAATGACAGTTCCATTGCATAATACAGGTCACACTGTAGCCAGGAAGGTGCTTGCTAAATTATGTTTCTTTCCTTCCTTTTCTGCATTTCCTTCCCTCTCTTTTTCTGTTTATCTCTTAATGCAAAGTCATATTGAAGAATATAAAAAGGATGAATTTTCCCAACCAAAGTAGTTTCTGAATGGAGAGGCCTAGTTAATTCAAAGTAGAACTCCTTTCCTTTGTGAATCATCACTGAAAAGAAACATTATTTGAGCAAATTTAATTTTATAGGAGTGTGTCTTGTGTAGATAAAGATTTTCATGACTTGCACAGAAATTATTTCTAGCCCTCCACCACTTACAATGCAAACAAAGTTCACTTAATATGTAAATAGGCATCACTTGCTAATTGAAAGACTATTGTGTTTCTGGTCTTGTAGAAAGGTGCCAGATGGCATCCAAGCTTCAGTTATGGAAGGCATTCTATGCCAGGGATGTTAGATTTCAGGGGATACATTCCTTCCCTTAACTTAGCTTTCTGGCTCCTTCCCTCCATAACCTCCTGTCTCCCTCACTTCTCCCTCCCTCCCTTGTTTCTTTGCTCTCTCCTTACCCTCATCTTTCAGGTATTAGTGATCAAACCCACATATATTAAGCAATCTCTCTACCACACAGCTGCATCCTTAGTCCTACAAGACACATTTCTGAGTACTGATGCGGTGGTTGTGAATATAATTTATATGTCCTCACATGAAATTGCAATACTACTAAGGCTGTAGACAAAGAGCTAGAATGTATAGCATAGGGAAAGAGGATAATTTCAGGTAGGTACAAAGGTGTGTATGTGTATCCATGTGGGTATATGTGAGATGGATGTAGAAGAGAACCATCCCTGATAGCACTTTGTTAGCTTTCTGTAATCATAATTTAAATGAACTCAAGACAGTTTTAGAATTGATTATAGAAGAATTTCCTGACAATAGAGCTAAGTTAATTACTGGAAAAACATAAAAGTCCTTTTCTCTTATAAAGAAACTTGGAAACAACTTGGGCACCTTCATACCTGATACCAAAAGCACAAATACACATGATCCTGTATACTCTATGTGAAGTTTCCGCTTTTTTTTATGTCTATGCACTCAAACATCCAGTATCCTTAATATTAGACACAAGGTTTCATTAATCAACATTATAACCATATATGGCATTAGATAACAGCCCAAATACCAGGTATGTACATGCAACACCACATGGATTACTTAGTTCATGTAGTTTTGAATAAATAAAGCACTGCACTACAAATCTTAAAAAAAAAAAACTTATTGCCTTAACACTGAGAAAAGAAATGTCTTGTATAAATTTTGCAAGCTTCAAAACTAACACTAAAGGCAAACACTATAGCAAGCAACAAATACAGTGCAAACATATACACAAAACTCTTCTAAATGAGTACAGGTTTGCACATAATATATTTTTATTTATAAGTATACTATTGATGTTCATGGGTGTGTGAGAAATTTGGACTTTTACTGGACAAGCTTTTTACACATGCAGGGCTATGTTTGTTTTTGTTTATGAGTCTTTGTCTCAGTGTGGAACTAAAATGACCCAGTGTATCTGACCTCAGAGGATATCTTCAGAGGACAGCCAAGCCAAAATTACACTACCTTTCTGAGTTGGAGAAATCTAGAGCCTGGGCCAGAAAACTCAAGAATTTCCAGTTTCAGCTCTTATTGCAAAGCTAATTCCTTCAAACTCCCAGTTGTAACCTCCAAAATGAGATTTGCCAGGGATTTCAACATCTTTAGCTCTGGATGCATGCCCCTACATCGAATTCAACCTTAAAACTGTTCTGAGAGTTAGAGATATACTATAGTACTTCATAATAGCTAAATCATGGAAGTGGTCTATATCTCCACCAACAGATAAATGGATAAACAAAATGTGTCATTTACAAACCGTAGAGTACTATTCTGCCATAAGGAGAAGTGGGGAGAGGGAAAGGTAATGAAAAAAAGAATCGAGATGCGTTATGTATATGAACCAAATGTAAACGTCATGTAATGCAAACATGGACTAATAAAAAAATGAAAATGAAATATCAAAAAACAGAAATAACATCTATAAATATGCTACCAATTTTTTCCATTTCATAAGATGCTATTTCTCGTCATTCAATAATGTTAGTAAATAACAGATATAAAAAAAAATAGGTATTCAACATGAGGCGTTAGTTCCATAAGAAATGCTTTGCTAGCATCAGAAATAACACAGAAGACAAGACAGATTATCATGAAAGCGGAGTTATTTATGTACTATGAGAAAGAAGAGTATGGCAGCATGATATGTAAATACAAAGTTTTGGAGAAAATTATACATGTGTATCTAGTTTGTTATATACTTTTTTATCCTTTTATTACAAAAGTTGTACTATAATATATTAGACAAAATCATTTCTTAGGATTGGAGTTCTGGACATTTAATTTTAAAATGTTTGTGGACTGTTTTCAAAATTATCAATAATTAATTGACCACAAATTAATTTATAGGAAACAAGTAACTTTAAGAGTATGCTAAAATAATTGTTTAAATTGCTTTTTATTCTAAATAGATAACTTAAAATTTTATGTAGCTATGTGGTACAAAGTGGTTTTGATTTATGAATATAATGTACATTAATTAAATCAACCTAGCTAAAATGTCTATTAGCTCAAATAACATTTTGTGCTAAGAACATTTATAATTTATTCTCAGTAGTTTTGAAATGTACACTATTAATTGTATTTATCATGCTGTCTGATAGTTATAAAAGGTTCTTCCAATTTGATTGAGATTCTTTAGCCCTTGACCATCATATTCCCATCTTCCCCACCCTACTGTTTAGATTCTATGACTATCATTTTACTTTCTCTTTAGAGTTTGATATGTTGGGATTCTACATATAAGTACATGGAGTAATTTTCTCTTCGTGCCTTTCTTACATAATTTAGCATACTGCTTCTTAGTTTCAACCAATTTATTACAAATAAAAGAATTTCTTTCTTTTAAATCTTGAATAATATTTCATTCCAAATATGCACCACATATTCATGATTCACGCTTTACTTGAATCATACTTTGGATGATTGCATAACTTGGCTATGATAATAGTGTTTCTATGAACATGGGAATAAAGACATTACCTTGAAATACCGAGTGCAAAACTTCAGCGTAAATATCTAGAGTGCAATTACTGGATAATATGGTAATTTTATTTTTTGTTTTGTAGAATGGCTATGCTAACATTCCCATCAACAGGGCAGAAGGACTCCCTTTTCTCCTTATCCTCATGAACATTTTTGATATTTCATCGTTTTATAATAGCCATTTTACATATATGAGATGACACGGTGGTTTCAATTTGTATTTCTCCAATGATTATCAATGTTTAAAACTTTTTGTAAACTATTTGCATATCTTCTGCTAAGAAATGTCTATTAAAGTCCCTTGTGCTTCACTGTTTTGTTTTCTTGTTGTGGAGCTATTTTAGTTCCTTATATAATTTAGATATTCATTCTTTAATAGTTCTAGATTTGCAAATATCTTTTCCATGCCACAGGTTGTCTCTATACATTGTTAATCATCTGTTTGCTGTGCAGAAGCACTGGAGTTTGGTATATTCATGTCTGTTTTTGTTTTGGTTGCCTGTGCTTTGGGAGTCAAACACAAATATCCTTTCTCAGACTAACATTATATAGCTTCCTCCCATGTTTGCTTCTAACCATTTCATCATATTTTCTAGTCCTACATTTAACATTTAATCTATTTTGAACTGATTTTTTTGTATATGGGGTGAGATAAGCATCAAAATTCAAATTGTCTCTATGTGGATATTGTTTCCCCAACATCATTTTTTAAGATGACCCTCCTTTTCTCATTGCATATTCTTGGAATTTTCCTTGAAAATCTGTTGATTATATATGCGTGAGTTCATTGTATCTCACTGATTGATGTGTCCTTCTGTTTCTTGTCAGTAGCATACACAAAACAATTTTCAAAAAGAAGCAGTGGTACTCTAACCATTAAGTGAAGATCAAGGTAAATAGCATGCTTGTTAGTTATCACCACATACTGTTCTAAATCCATTTTTTCAGTTATATTATTATTCCAAAAAATTGACAATTTATATAACTAGAAAAAATCAAAGAAATGATCTATTTTAAAAGCTTTATTTTATAAAAAAACACTAAGATCAAAGGAGATTAAACAGAAGCCAAATGGCAACATTAGCTACTGTCTTTC